ACACACACACACACACACACGAGTATCACTCAGCTGAGAGCAAGGAGGAAGTCCTGCCGTCTGAGACAACGTGGGTGAACCCCGAGGGCACTGTGCTAAGTGAGAGAAGTCAGACTGAGAAAAACAGGTCGTTTATGACATCACTCAGATGTGGACTCTAAAGAAGCTGAACTCAGAGAAACAGAGAGTAGATTGGAGGCTAAGCAAGGGCTGGAGAGGGGGGTGCATGGGGAGGTATCAGTCAAAGGCCACAACTCTCATTGTGGGGTTAGCAGGCTCGGGGGACCGAATGGACAGCAGGGTGACTAGAGCTGCTGATCCTGTATGTTATGCCTGAAAGTTGCTCAGAGAGGAGAGACCACAAAAAGGAGAATACGGTCCTGGCCGGTTTGGCTCAGTGGACAGAGTGTCGGCCGGCAGACCAGAGGGTCCCGGGTTCATGTAGGAGGCAACTGATGGATGTGTTTCTCTCACATCACTGTTTCTGTTGTCTTTCCTCTCTCTTCCACTCTCCCTGAAAATCAATGGGAAAATATCCTCGGGGGAGGATTCACAACAGAAAAAGGGTCACATGTCAGGGGATGGAGGTGTCAGCTAACTACGGTCCCGGCGATATCACTTTGCAGGATGTGCGTGCAGCAAACCAACAGGTTGCACACCTTAAGCGTACACAGCGCTGTGTGTCAATCATGCCTCCGTAAAGCTGGAAAAATAAAAGTGAACGTAAAAAAACAAAGAGCAAAGCCCCGGCTTGGGCGCAGGTGGTCTGGTCGCTGCCGTTCTGACCTCCCCATGCGCCTTCTCACCGGCGGGGCCGCTGCCGCAGGGGGAGGTGCCTGGCCTGCGCCTCCTACACAGGCGGGTCCTACCGTGATGCTTTAAGACGGATGGCCTGCTGTTTTCATTCCGTTTCCATCATTTTTAAGAATGTTCTGTGGAAAGCCTAGTGGGGCTGGCATCCTGCCAGGCGCCGGCTGTGGGGATGGGAGGTCTGCGTCCCTCCGGAAGTGCTGCCTGTTAAACAGGGCGGCAGCCCGCGGGTGTGCAGGGCAGGAGGGGAGGTCCCTGAACTTGCAGTGTCACAGTCAGAGGGATGACTAAGTTTGGTGGATGCCTCGCCAGTGCCGGGCGCTGCTCACAGCGCTTCACGCGTGTGGTTTCACGTCGTCATGACCATCTCCCTGGGAGGCAGGAGTGAGTACTGTGACCCCATCCTACAGATGCGGAGACTGAGGCTGGAGGGTCCGGGAGAACCAGCCAGGACCTGCCGGCAGCCTGGCCACAGTGGTTTTGGCAGCCCCTCGGCCCCCCCCCCGCAGCCCCCCAGCCCGTCCCTGAGACCTGCTCTCACCTCTCCGTGTCCTTGCTGAACTGGCCTTTCCCCACGTCGTTGACGGCGCAGAGGCGGAACTGGTAGGAGCGTGCCGGGACCAAGCCCTTGACCACCACCGAGGTAGCCTCGGGGTCCACACTGGCCAGGAGCACGGCCCAGGGGGCGTCTGCAGGGACAGAGGGCGGAGGAGAGGTGGGCATCTTGGGGGGCCGTGCCTCTTTCCCCTGTTCCCAGCAAGGCCCAGCCTCTTTTGGGCTAGCAGAGGCGTGCCACCCCCTTCGTCCAGCAGAGGCCGGTCAGGTCCCTTTTTGGTCCCTTGGCTGGGAGGGGGAAGGTGGGAGGGATTTTTGGTCCCTTGGCTGGGTGGGGAGAGGAGGGAGGGATTTTTGGTCCCTTGGCTGGGTGGGGAGAGGAGGGAGGGATTTTTGGTCCCTTGGCTGGGTGGGGAGAGGAGGGAGGGATTTTTGGTCCCTTGGCTGGGTGGGGAGAGGAGGGAGGGAGAGAGTTGGAGGCCACTGGAAGCAGCGCTCACGGGAACTGAGTTGCATCCATCTTTTCCATCTTTTCCCCCTCAGATCGATGAGCTCTGGGCACACTTATTTAAAACGCATTTAAATTATGCATGCTAATTCTGGAGTCCACAGTGAGGAGGAGAAAAAGAGAAAGAATCGCTACCGTTTCGGAGGCTCCTGGTGCGGCAGGCCCTACGTCCTGTGCCTTGTGTGTATCTTGTTCAATTGTCACTATGACCCTAGGGAGCCGACTCGGTCATGTGACAGCCGAGGCGGCGGAGGCTCTAGGGGTAAGGGCCTGCCCAGAGGCAGAGGCCCAGGACATGGGCGCTGGAACCCCATGGCTGAGCCCCGCCCGCCCTGGCTGCGGTGCGGAGGGGGACTTACTGTTCTCCGACATCTCCAGGACGTAGCGGATCAGGGGGCTGTTGCCATCGAAGGGCTTGGCCCAGGTCAGGTTGATGGCCCGCCTCTCGGAGGCGCTCAGCGTGGCCACTGGGTGCTCGGGTGCGTGAGGCAGCTGCCTGGAGGAGAGAGGTGTGGCGGGGCCCCCGGTGAGGTCTACAGTCAGGTGACACGCGGGCGGCCGGGACTCGGACAGAACTCCCGATACCTCGTGCTCGGCCACGAAACGTGGCCTTTGGGCCATCGACCTGCAGAGCCTCCTCTGGGGCCCGGAGCCCACCTGTCCAAAGCCAGACCCACACTCCCCTGCTCTTGCAGGGGGCCCAGCCTGGAAGGATGCTTGGGCGTGTCCTGCGAGAAGGGCTGTGGTCCCAGGCCACCTGGTGGCCTGCCAAAAGGAGCCTTCTCGGTGCTGCTGACACCTCTGGGCTCGGGCCTGGGCGGGTGGCCCTACCTGACCCGCAGGTGGGCGCTGCGCGAGTCGTTGCCTCCGGCGGAGAGCACCCGGCAGGTGTAGGTGCCGATGTCCCCCGACCACGTCTGGGTGATGTGCAGGGAGCCGTTCTTGTCCAGGCGGACACGGGGGCTGTTCTCCACGCCCAGGGCGGCCCCGTCCTTCTCCCACACGTACCTAAGAGAGGGAAGAACCAACAGGTACAGAGACGGAGAGAAGAGCCGGCCGGTGTGGCTCAGTGGTTGAGTGTTGACCTAGGAACCAGGAGTCACGGTTCAATTCCCGGTCAGGGCACATGCTCTAGTTGTGGGCTCGATCCCCAGTGTGGAGCATGCAGGAGGCAGCCCATCAATGATTCTCTCTCATCACTGATGCTTCTCTCTCTCTCCCTCTCCTTTCCTCTCTGAAATCAAATATATTTGATTTAATATAAAACATAAAAACATATTTAAAAAAAGAGAGATAGGGAAGTGGGGGTGCTCTTAAGGGTGTGCTCAGCCCAGGCTGGTCTGCAGGAGAGCAGGTGGGTCGGGGACAGGTCCCGGGCCGCCACCCGTCTCGGGCTGGTCTCCGGGAAGGGTGCAGCGGCAGCCAGAGCAGCCTGCTGTCCATCCCTGCGGGAGGATGTGCGTCCGTCCGGGAGGGTCAGCACATTAAATCGTTATCAGTCATTCACCTTTGGTTCAGGTCCAGGGCCAAGCCTGGCTGCTTTTAGCTGGAAGTCATGCCCAGGGGCCGGCACCAAAGAGCCGGCAGAAAGGTCTTCTCCCCACGAGGTGACGAGGTCACCGCTGGACAGAGCATGGAACCTCCGCCCAGGCTACGCTGTGCAATTAGTTGTATGAGAATCCCAAGAGCCATGCGTCACTGTGACAAAATGACCTCAGTGCCCAAAACATCATGTTCGCTTCGGCCAGTCGGCACGAAGGGGGACTTGAGACATGGCCCACATGCCCGTGTCTGACAGTAAGACGTCTCTCCCCTGGAATGGTTCTTGGGGACAGACGACCGTCGCTGCCATGAGCACGTGTGGACGGCCAGCTCCGGGAAGGCACGCCGTGTCGAGGGTTCGGGATCGTCTGTGGACGACGTTCCAACCACATCTGTGTGATTTCCAGGCTCCCTTTGGCATGGCGCTCGCACCACACGACGGCGGTCCCCAAGGGTCGATGTTGGAAGTTAAAGGAGCTGTTTCTCAAACTGGGGCCCGAGATGGATCCTCGGAGAGTAGGTTTTGGTCTCAGAGTCTAGTAGCCCTTATGCCAACCTTGGCTTCCAGGGTCCCTACGGTATGGCCGGACAGACTGTCGTATGCGGAGTGGCCACCAGATGGCGCCCCAGGATGCAGTTGCCTCTGGAGTGTCAGGGTTGTTACTCCAGGAGGCATCAGTGCCGGGCCCTCCATGCCCAGTGGTATTGCCCATACAATACAGAAGCCACACGGAGGGAACAGTTACTTCCAAGGAAGAAGTTAAAACTTTTCCTTAGCATCCCAAAGGGACAGTTTCTCCTGGTTTTAGTTCCCAAAGCCTTCCTTTGGGTTGGCCGCCAGGGGTGTTTACCCCAAGCTTGGGGTGGGGGTGGGTCCCAGATTTTCAGCCTTTCTTGGCTGCTTCTGTCCCAAGCTGCCTCTCCAGAGGGTTCCATAGGGGGTGCTAGTTGCTTCCAGTCTGCATAGCTCGTGGCCCAGGCGAATGGTGGGGGTGACTCAGTTTGGGCACTTGCCCCTCCCGTGTGTGTCCCAGGACCTATCCCTTCTCCCACACCTGCTCACCCAGACCCTCTGCTGTCCACTTAGTGGGCAGAGGGGTCTGGGAGAGCCAGCAGCCCAATGCCCCTTTCTCCCCCCTTCCTCCCTCCTTCCTCCATTTCCCCACACTCCTTCTTCTCTCCCTCTCCCTCTGACATGGCCCAGTTCAGTTCCAGCTCACTTTGCTCCCCAAGCATTTACGCAGCGCCCCGTACACCCCAGCCCTGCACCAGGTCTGTAAATGGTCCCCCCAAGGATGCTCTGTGGCTCCACGGGCAATACTCACCTTCTTGGTGCAGACACTCGCGCAGCTACCAGCCACCCTCAAAGCCGCCCTCCCTTTGGCCTCCCTGGGGCCACAGCAGAGGGAGTACCTGATGGTCACCCGGGGGTCGTGGGCCACGCCACACACCATGGAGGCCTGGGTGCCCTTGATGACACTCTGGTCCTGGGGCGGCCTGGTGATGCGGGTCCGGGCTGAAAGACAGCAGGGGGGCGGCGGTGAGAGGAGGGGCAGGCGCCAGAGTCACAGGCGAGAGGCAGGGGGTGGGAAGGTGGCGGCAGGC